AGAGTGGATGGTATCACTGCTTAGGAAGTTTATTACTAAAGGTTTAAATCAACAAACAAGCAAACTAATAATTATTATGATTACAATAGGCACTGAGACTAGGCTGCATTCATTGATTGCATTCATTCAAAATGATAATATTCTTGTATAATAATTGGCAAATCGTGTACGACATCAACACTGAATTCATTCAGAGTAAGAATCGAGAGTTACATATGATCTGGGTTCATGGTTCGTAGGCACATGAAATGCTCGTGAATTAATTCCATAAGTGAGTTGTATTCGACGCCAAATTTGCATGAGATTCTTTTTTGTCGTCCGTAAAGTTTCACATATCTATGTATTCCAACCTATCAGTGTATGCATGTAATCGACGACAGAAATCGAAATCTAACGAACATAAGTGAAAATATGTGAAACCGGATTGAAATACATGAAATAAATGCGTATTGATGCATTAATGAACCAAATGCATCCTTCACACCCAAACACACTCGACACTCGTCATCGCATCTACTTTATTTATTATCCACCTTCGAAAACTTCTTTCGTTTTTTCACATCATAATCTGATTTCATTTCGAATCGTTCCATTCTATTTGATTCAGTTTCAGTCGTCTATCTTCTCAAAAACATCCCCCCTCCCATCCACCACACATGTTCATCTCATTTTGAGTTTCGTTCACTAATCAAAAATCGGAATTTTTGTTCCCCATTCCTTTATCAAACAGCGCAAATAAGTGATATGATATGTACGAATGCTGATTTGCGTTCAGAATAAACGAATAAGTGCAGGTGATGAGGGGTACTGGTGCTCACTTTAGTTCTTAATACGATAGTGGACATATCAGCTTCAAAATAAAAATGTCCGCACATCAACAGAATAACCAAACGATTGAATGAAAATGAATTTGATAACTGAATGAGAAAAGTACTAATGATTTGTTTAGTAGAACGCATCAATAAGATACTCGGATTAAGGTGATAAAAGATATTTGATGCGATAAAATGATGCTTGACACATTTTAACATTCGTATAAATCATACGAAAAAATTATAGGGGATAGCAATGTTTCTGTGTGAAAAACGTAGAAAATTGAAGGATTCCGAATAATGGCAAAATTTCTCACTGAAAACAATAAAAGCAATGTGCAGGAAGTCTTAAAAAATCATGAACGAACTAAAAAGCATTTAACTAAGGTGCTCATATGTTGAAGCCCACACGCAAGAAATAGATTTCAAAACTTAAAATTCAACTATTCGCGATCATTCATGAAGAATTGATGGTAAGAGGAATTTTACAAACATCGTGGAAATGAATGAATAGAAATCAATATGTCCACGAGAGATCAATGAATATGATTGGATATAAAAAAATAAATGCATTTCAAGATAATGCTCGCGCAGCGATGATTGCTCCATTTGATGATCATATGAAACGAGTCTTATCCTTTTACGGTTTCAGGTTAGATAGAAGAACGAATTAAATTGGATGGCGAATTAATTGCATGCGACGAGCGATTGACACGTGAAGAAGCGAGTGGTTGAAGGGATATGTTCTTAATACGATAGTAGACATCAAAACAAATCGCGTGTGAATAAATAATATCAATAGACAAATCAAAATCTAACTTGACTGAATAATTGAGTAAATGCATTAATTTGAATGATGAAAAAGGAATAAATTCAAAAAATGATTTGATTTGAGATTAAAAATGAAGGAATAAGAGATTTAGGAATAGAGGGGTGATGGGAGGATCGTTGCAAATTTTCATTTGTTGTTAGATTCAAGAAAGGGGAAAAAGGACTGGAAAGAAATTTTGATAGTGAATTAAGATGAATTATGTCAATAACGATAATTATAATTCATTTCATCAATCAATCGTATGGTTTCGTCAAGTGGTTTTCACTGGAGGCGGGAGGGGGTAAGAGGAGGAACAGGGAAGGCTCCTCCTTCACGGCCAAATTGAGGATATCAAGGTGACGAACGGAGTTGGTGGATTAATGTTGACTGCTTTTTTCCATAGTTGCTCATTAAACAACAGTTTGAAAAAAGTGATTTTCAATCGACTTCCTTAATCANAAATCTCTTGAAAATTGAAATGATTTTTCATTCATTCCCGATAGTGGATACTCAAAAGTATTGGATTTTTAAAAACATTGTGACTAGCGTTAACACAACGTTAAACGACAGCTTCTTCCCAGACTAGTCTGAGTATATCAGCATCTGGAGTATACTGGACGTTGATTTGACTGGAACCAACGAAACGGTTCAGAAGAGCCATATTGAAGAAGGCGCTTTTCAATCCGAAACAGGAACATGAATTCAGATTCATTGGTTGACATCCCCTGTCAACCACACAAATTAATAAATCTTCCTTACACATCGACTGGTTGTTTTGTCAATCGTTGTGAGCGATGGGCGGAATATTTATTCTATTAGTGTAATGATTATTTATTGGATTGATATATGGCTACGTTTAATTATGCAAAGTGTACACGACAACTAATTGAAAGTAATTATTTGGTTGTGTTCGGTTGGCCTGTTCACCTAGCTAGCGGAGCGGGATGGCGTCGAGATCAAGGCTAAAGCGAATATTGTGGCCAGCAACATTGCATACGTTTGATAGCCTGGCCAATCCAAGTACTTTCTGTGGTAAACAAATGATTTAAATTCTAATTATAACAATACCGAGTATAACTTGAGTAGCTCTATTATATATGAAAAAATGACATTTTGTGGCTATTTCCACATTTTCGATTTCTTCGAACTTGCATGTCAAATTAACTTATCAACGGAAGTCAACAGCAGTTGTGCACCTCGTATATCTACACTCTCATTCTCCGTGACTGCAGCCCTATACCCTCGGAAGCCTACTGAACTTCGAACGTATATGTGACGCTTAACACCATCATCAAACAAAAACACTAATCAATTGCGTTTCACACTTGCTTTTGCACTTCATTGAAGCTCGACCTCGCTACAATTCATTTCTCGTAACCACATTGAGGAGAACGGTTTTGAGAATGGAAATTGAACAAGCGCAACAACAGCACAGGCAAAATCAATGTTGGTAGCAAAAATGATAACGAATGTGATCACTCTAAAGATAATATTGATTCACACAAGGAATTAACATCGCATTGTTTTTAAAGGAGAAAGATAAATGAAATGAACAAAACCCATACGGTTGATGTTCGAAACCGGAGATGGGGACGTTGACAGTAGTTTGAAGAACGGAAGATTGGTTAGAGTGATAAAAGATTTGCACAAAGACGGTTAGATTTTATATGGTGAAAAAGTGTTTCATGCGGATGCCCTAGGGCTCCGTCAATGAAAATTGCATTTACAAACGTCTCTCTCATTCCCCTCCATCTGAACTGCCCTTAAAATTAATAATCCTGGCTGTCATCCAGTGGTAATCCGCTGTTGAACCGACGACGGAATATTGATTTCAGACTCAAAAATCCTTTAAAATTTCAACCACACTGTTCTTGATCTACTTCCACGAACAAATCAAAAAGGAACGTTGTGTTGATAGGAATAACAATAATGCCAACAGCAATAGTGATTGCAATGCTAGTAAGAATCAATTAAATATGATCACACACAGTGAACAAGTTTCGATGCTACACTGATAATGATAATGATGAGATGTTGTTGCATATCTATCAAAGCAGTTTATAAGAGATTTATCAATCGCTGTCACCCATCAACCGGGACATGTTTCCCTCAATAATTCAAGTTTATAAGAGATTTATCAATCGCTGTCACCCATCAACCGGGACATGTTTCCCTCAATAATTCACGTAACAATCTTTTGCATTCATATCTGTCCACTTAGCTGGAACACAATTGCTGAATATCAATGAAACATCATTTCATATCTGTCATTCCAAACATTTTCGAAATGTATTCGTTGCATATTACTTTTGATAATTCTGGTGATATGAGTGAGAATGCTGCTACACTGTTAATCTTATTGTTAGTGTTGCTTTCATTTTGCAGCTATTCACATCATCAGTATTACCCTTATAATTACATGAGTTTGCTTACTGATGGCCAAAACTGCTCTTGTGTAATTATTTTTGATAATATAATCAATGCAAACTCAGATAGAACAACTTCTCGATCACGACATTAGACGTCAGAAGAAACAATACGAACAATGGATGGCGCATGATAAAACCAAAAATTTACAAAGTTTCAAAAGTCTGGAATGATACTTAACAGCTAAAATAAACACTCACTCTAGGCAGAATCACAAAATCAACAACGAGATGTTCGACAAACACCATGAATCAGGCTAAAAGTTTACCATTCTGGCGAAACAGACAATACAAAATGTTTACAAAATGACGTTAGTAATATTTTGAAAGAGTAAGTGAAGATATTAAATGAACTTGAAGAATAAACTAAAATGATGTTGATTTTGGACCGACACGACGTGTGGGAGTTGACGAATAAGCTATGCGAATAATGCTCATTGGATCTGATGCGTTATGCAAACTTGAGAGCATTGATTCGGGGAATATTTAAAGGCATCGGGAAGTGGCATTCGACATTACAGCGGCACACACACATCAGGATGAAGATCAATCCTATTGCAGCGATACTTTCAATTGCTCTTTGCTTTGTTGACGGTTAGACATTTTTTACATTGTTCGAAATCTTTGCTGTTCAAAGTAATTCGTTTATCAATGTAGCTACTGTAATTGCATATCATTTGTATGTTCTGCTAGCAGTTTGCTGCAGTTGCTATTCGTTCAACCATTTTGTCGTAAGTGTTGAAGAGAGACGGCCATTACAGAAATTTATAATTGCATCAATACTCATAGAGTTATAAAATAAAGAGATGTTGAGAATAATTATGCCGCAGAATGCGGTTCGAAAATTTTTCAGTCTCCGAAGAGCTTTTATTGAGAACCGTGAATCTCTCTGATATTGATAAATGAGATGTTGGAAAAAACTATTGAGAATCATCGATAAAATTTTCGATTTTGTGATAAAATTTCCTCAAAAACTACTATTTGAAGCAGAGGTTCCCCAACCTAAATGATTGAAGTAACAATTTCAGTGATCAAATCAGAAATATCACAACTCGACACCGTTTGCGTTACTTGTGTAACCCAAAAGCCGTGTGCTACTTGCGTTCCGCAAGACGAATGGGGACCATGGGGACCGTGGAGCGATTGCACATTCAAATATGGCCGTATGAGAACAATTACTCCAAATTCAATCGCTCACATAAAAGCAATACATACTGCAATAGAATTAATGAGATAATATTTTAGTATATTCGCAAACAAGGCAGCGAGTCTGTACATCAGGTCCAGGTAAATGCACGGGTGGAAATGGAGGTGGCGAAGAAGCTATTCGATGCTCACCACCCGCAACTACAACTCTGCAGCCGCTACCACAATGGTCACAATGGGGTCCTTGGGGACAATGCAGGTAGCAAGCTGTCGCTTAATGATGACTACAGTTCATGCATCAATCATTTACTGCTTCATAATATACTACTAATAGTAACTAGCTGAAATGCTATGAGAACGGTAAAACATTAGTCGCATATCACATCCATACTCGCTTGAATTTTCAAGCAAACACATCGCACAGCTTAACGAACAACAAAAATAAAACGATAAGATTTAACGTAGTGCGGCGATATTAAGAGAACATTTGTTTTACTCATTCAATTAAGACGGATCATGTGATTAAAGAATAATCAAGGGCGATTCATTAGAATGCTAAAAGTCAACGTTATCGATCAGGTTATCGTTATGATAACAACAACCAGTTGCATTGCAAATGCGAACAAGACTATCTCTTTCACTGCCTAAGGGCAAACATTCAAGTTGGAAAGCGGCGTATGCTCCCGCATCGAGGCATAGATAAAAGAAGATTTCATGAAGCGTGCGTATAGTGGTAATACAGAATTGTAAACAACGACGAAATCACCAGTAGAATGTGTCGAAAGAAGTGCTGTTTGCAGTGCTTCATGCGNCAGAACGAGGGTGTGCTCAACACAATGTGGCACATGCAAATGCCAAGGAGCTGCTAGCGAACAACAGCCTTGCAATACTGTATGTCTTATTGCTTAAATTGATTTTTTTTTTCAAAAATTTTTTCGTTTGCAATTAATGGATGAGAATGCTTAAAGCAGGCAATAGAATAAAACATTACTGATTAACAATAAATCTTCACTGATTAAAAATTATGGTATTTAACTTTACAATTTCCAGCAAACTTGCTGCAACTGGAACGCATGGAGTGAGTGGAGCGAATGCTCTGTCACCTGTGGCTCTGGATTTGAATTACGAACAAGAACATGCACCTGTAATCAGGTATTCAGAAACTCAGTTGATATCGTGAATTTGTACTTATTGTAATTATCAAATTTTAATCGCTCACTTTATGTTTATTGAACACGACAGATTAAGAATTACTTTCGTTGTGTAAGGTACGTATCAGCATTCAGCACGAACTATGTATCGAGGTGTATGTTAGAAATCCTCGGCGTTTCGTTTCACCGCGAGAATTTATACGGACTCATTTTGGTTAAGAAACACTCAAAAAATTCCGACTCAGTGCGAAATGGAAGAGAAGATGTGAGATTTCAGTGTGCTGAAGGTGAAGGTATTGAGCAACGAGCATGTGAAATGTCAAGTTGTGTTACATGCGACACGTGTGCTTCGGTAACAACCCCATCACCATGCGGTATTAACAATCCGTGTCCAACACTTCAACCTTGTAATAACTGTCAGAATCCACCAACCATTCCGACGATACCAGTCGTTAAGACTGTTGAACGTTCATCCTCATCCTCAAACACTAATTTTATCCCAGTCATTGGATCCAGTCAAAACACAAACATCATAAACTCTGAATACAACACAAGTGAGCTGATATTTCGAAATGAAAATTTCAAAAACAAAACAGTAGTTGTCAATAGCACACAATTTGGTGTTCATTGATAGAGTCAAACGTATCGCTGTGATCAGTTAATCAATTCAACAAGCTCACCAAATTTTCTTATGTAGACTTTTCGGAAGATTGAATGCATTCACCTAGTTGACGAACCGATTGAAATATTTTTATTAAAACAATAATATTTGCAATAACAATTTCAGTGATAAAGTCATATCGATAATAATAGTAATATAACGTTCAAATTTCAGTGCCCATAATTCATTGAAACAAACGAATCTCATCTTCAACCACCAAATTACCAATGTGCGTAAGTGTGACTGTCTAAACCAAACGAATATCTTGATTTCTTCTCAAATTCGATAACATTAACATTAAGCTAATATCTGAAGACAATAAAAACGAAATGCTCAAATTATTCAATTCATCTCAATTATTCAACAACTAGAAGTTCGAGAAAACTGCCAAAGAATTCAATCGAAATAGCATAATTAACAATGTTATAGGTGTGATGTGTCGACAACTGCTCAATATACTCGTTTATATCATATCTGGATGTCAAACATTTATAATTCATCATTTTTGCTCAATTGTTACCGGTGGTAGTCCAATAAACAATGAAGTGTTCTTAGTTTGAATCTCCGTGTTATCTATAATGAACACTGAATGAACAGACAAGTGCACTTGAAATGATCACATTATGTAAGTGACATAGACAAAATTCAATAGTAATAACAGCCTAAAACCACATGAAGATATTTCAATGTGGCAACTAGTGTTCGTCGGGGAACGGGGTCCCCGTCGGGGACCTCGGCGGCTAAAATTAGAAGGTTTCTACACATCTACGGGAATGCACTAAAGTAGAAGCAGAGTGAGAAAAGTCAGGAAAAGGAGATGGCAAATTTGAACTGATCATATTTGCTGACGAGCTTACAACTGTGATAACCTACATTTCACATGGTAATAAATCGCTCGAACAATGTTAATGAAAACAGAATACTCGATTACGAAATGATTCACAGAACAACTTTACTTGATCATAAGAATAATCATACCTCAAATTCCAGAACACAATGAATGGATATTTCAAAACATCAAATTCTCTTGAATGAATAGAAGCCCTCTCCTAATCTGGATTTAGTTACCTAGCACAAATGTTCCATTACAAGCATCGAGGCTGCATTCAGTGGAACAATCAGAATAAAGTATCACGAATGAGGTTCAATGAATGAAAGAACGCCGCCAACTAGATGCAAACTACCCGTTACCAATACTTCAATGTTGCGCTGTTTTTCATTGTGAAGTGAATCGATTCGTCGAATCGCCTTTTCGATACAATCAAAATGTTCCGCATGTGCACTCTGAAATTTGATGAATGCATTTCCTTGAAGATGCGTTCAGCGATTGTAAATGATTTTTGATAACGGGTGAATAAAATTTGGATCGATATGGAGAAAATGATTATAGAGTGAATATGAAAAGGATAACAGAGCAAGTACTTCATCATTGAGTTTCTTCCACATGATCATATTCTCTTCACTACGTAAATATTGCTCTTTTTGATCCTGATTGAAATTAGAATGATCCGAGCTGATATCGAGAGTAGAGCGCAGACGAGTTGGACAGAATAAGGCAATATCGAAATTGCAATCCTTCAAGTAAGTTGGTTGTTAAATACTATCGAGAAGATGAATCTTTCAAAAGTACCTCGTGCATACTTACTGAACACCGAGTAGTTGCTTTACCGACCGGGCGATCGGCAGAATATTTGTTTGATTAGAGTTACGATTATTTACCGCATTGGTATTCGGTAATCTTTAATCATGCAAAGTACTTACGGTAACTAATTCATTGGGTGGTTGTGTTCAGCTGGCGTGCCCGCCTAGCCAACGGGGTGGCGTCAACTGAGGCTAAAACAATGCGAACGGAAACGCATTGTGGCCAATAACAACGTTACAAACGTCTGATAACTTGGCCAACCCAAGTAATTTCGTATGGCAATTTTATTTTCAAAAAAAAAAAACAACTGATTACTTGATTATAATATGGAAATGAAAATTGCTAAACAAACGAAGATGAGACCGCATGAGAGGAATAAAAAGTACCACTAAATGAGGCAGCAATGACTCTGGTTTTCGATCACCTGTACAGTGAAATAATAAAATTCGTAATGGCTTAGCAAAGGGATCTTGATTCACTCGCTGACGATCCCACTTATACCATGTAGCACAACACTGAAATATTATATGTGCTTCAAATTCGTAACAGTTTATCCATCAAATATTGTAATTCACATCTGACTTTGAAGATAAATTATTTTGAACCTCTAAACTCTTAGGTGTATGAGCTCCGTCAAGGAAGTATATTAATGAATCGCTTATCCTCAGCATTTGGCTTCGTCCAGGCCACTTGCATAGCCGAATACCATCAATAAACTGCTCTGGCACCACAAAACCAGGTAAGGTACTACCTTGCTGCACATACGCCAATTTTGATCCATTATCCAGTAAGGCGTCTGAAATGAGAATCAAAAGTACACTTCAGCAACCACCAATAATATTAGAATTACCGCATTTGTGATTCATCGTTTGAAGCCAAAGTTTGGCCAACTGCATGGCTAGTGTAATATTCCAGTATTGATGTTGGCCGGGAATACCAATTTCGAGTTGCTCACATGGCCAATTGTATGCATCGAACTTGGGCGCTCTTCTCAACTGACACTAAACAAAACTTCAACCATATAACATTATCATGTTTGCGAAGCAAGTCACAGTCAAACGTATTGGCTGTCAGCGAACATCAAATAACCTTTCGCTCGATTGCACGAGACATCATAACATTCATCGTCTGTGGTGTTTGATCAGCCACAACCGCCACTGAGCCTTTCTTAAAAATGCCAGCCTTTTGCCATGCGATCTCTTCGAGTGTCGAACCCAGCAACGATACGTGATCGAAATCGAGCGTTGTTACACCACAAACCACTGGATTTCTTAAATGAATTACCTTTTTTTCCAAACGCCGATTACGATAAACTAACTTGAATGATTGAACAGTACGGTTGAAACACTTCACATACAGCATAATTCTCATGCACGAATGTCGAATAAACAAAAACTGAATGCGAAACAATCAAGGGAAGCAACCTGATCACATTAGTGCAATCATGTTCACCGCCAATGCCCACCTCGATGATAGCAACGTCAACTTTCTCTTCAATAAAAACGTGGAATGCCATCAACGTAAGGAATTTGAAATAAGTTGGCATCGCGCCGTCATCAACTGCCTTGAAATTCATCAACTGCACACTTTATTTTCATTGAAAATTTGTTCAGAAGTTCATTTCTCGATGGCTAAACGAGTGAGAATATGTTGAAGCTGAACTCAAAATGAAAACACCGAGCCCATGCCGTCATTTTCTCACAGACGTTCATTTTATCTCCAATTTACAGATCCACATTAGATGAAATCGTTGACGAATCAGATAGACAAAAGCGATCGCTCATTCAAAAACACCTCAAAACGAACCCCTTTCTGAAGTCGATCGTAAACAGTAAAAAAATACTTCGTAAACGCAGTTTCACTTAACGGACGACCATTGATCCGAATGCGCTCGCGCACATGCACTAAATGCGGTGAACTGAAACACGCAATTGTTTGGCGATAAATAATAAAATAGACGAAGATCAGAATATGAAATGCAACAACTAAAAACAATAAGCGAACCTGTAAAATCCAGTTTTATAACCAAACTGTCTTAAAATTGACTCGATGAACGCACACGTTGATCCTTTTCCTTTGGTACCGCTAATATGAATCACATTCAATTTATCGATGTCATCTAACTGCGAATATTTTACGAGTGATTAAATGNAATAACTGATGGACAATGGTGAGAAAATGGTTGCAGAATACCTCAATATTACATCGCTTCAGAAATATCATCGTTTCAGCTAAATTAATCGATTGAAAGAATTCACGATTCTTGCGCACCTGTTGAATTGTACGCGCGTTACTCTGCAGAGTATTCAACTGTGAAACAGCATTCTGAAATTATGAAACATTCGAAACGATGAATGGACAAAAAAGAACCACAAGTAAAGATGAAATGAATGAAATCCAAAAATAATTGAATGATTAAATAAATGATATCAGAAGGCTTGGGGCAATGCATAAATTGATCATTACTGGAGGCTGCAAATCGATCACGAGGAGAACTGGGAAATTTTAGCTATATCAGGGATTCATTGCAATAAACTGGGCCTTTAATAATGAATTATTCTAGCTAACGCCGACAAATACGAAATAGTTGTATGCGGCTGGTATGGAACGAATGTTGTTCACAAATTTGATTCAGTGGAGCACATCGCATGATAAAAAGGCAGACTTTCGTGAGTTCAGCAATAAATTCATTCAGTGAAATTCTAATATTCGCACAAAAATTACTTCATATGCTGTGCTTTTAGTGACTGGTTTTGCCATTGTTGAGATATTCCGCACAAGATTTATCAGCAGTGAATGGCGGCGTATTAATCGTGCGAGCGAACAATGCAATTTTAGTTGAGAAATGAACAGCAACTGAAAATATTAATTCACATTGAGAAAATATTTGAAAACGGAGAAAATTTTATTAGTTACCAGAAAATTGATTTGTGATGGGAAAGCAAAATCAGAGAAATAACAAAAAAACGCAAACACGACATAAAATGAGAGCATGCTGAATGAGGCTGATGAGGATATTTTAAGACGAGGTCATTTGATAACACCTTTGAATGAGTCATTTGATAACACTGCTATCTCCGATACGCATTCACAAAACAAATTCATTTGCAATTTAGCATAATTACTACAAAATGTAATACTGCTCACAAAAATACACAACGAACAAACCAATACTAGTCCGCTAGTCTACATTCCTCTTCAGCCTACATTCGTTTTCAACAAATCAAATCAAATGAAGAACCATTCGGATAGACAGACTAATCGAACGATAGCTCTAATACTGTAAGAATACATGAATACGTTATATGTGTTGAGCATTATAGATTTTGTCTCATGAATCGCCTTGAAATACTTCATAAAATAACTCGATATACTGACTGACCAAACAACATTACATGACACACGACTGAGGAGAAACAAAGGAACAGAATGAAAACGAACGAATCAGACAGCTGACTTTGTATGATTTACACGTTAACGTACGACGGGAATAATGAGGCATCCAAAACGTTGTTAAATACACTCATCAAAAATGAAAGAATGACCAAATGTGTTCCAACCAAACTCCCAAACAAAGATTCAGAGAGATGGAAGGAAAATTGTGATGGTGTGAATCAATATTTGCCGACGAAGAATGAACAATCGAATTTAATGTAAACAGTTGAGTGAAATGATCAAACGATCACTGAACTGCGATGATAATCTCCGAGAAGATGACGTTCAAAACAAGTTTCGATGTGGCAGTCGCATGAGGATACAAGCTATCACATTTGCACTGCGAGCAATTCAATAATAAAATATCGTTGACCGTGATCGATGATTTGAGGTGTGAAACAATAGNATATGCGTCTTATCAGACTGATACTAAAATAAAATGCGGTTAAATATACAATGGTGTCACTAGATGGAAAAGTCACAGTCAAGAGGAAGAAAAACGTGATCATTTATTTGGTCGATATTCAACAAGTAAAAAGGTGTTAGCGGGCGATAGCAGTCGCTTGTAAAATTTTAGACTCAACACATAAGGTTGATGGTTTTATTTTGCGATGAAACTGTTTAAGAAGCACACGATAGTGATCGATCACTATCTAAAATTTTACAAAACTGAAATGGCATCTTATAAAAATGGCATCTCTTATGAGAACATTCAAAAAACTATACGTCAACAATCAAAAATCTATCAACTAGAAAAAGTATTCGTTTGATAAAGTAAAGTACAAAAAGTTGAATTTGATAAGACGAAAGGGAAGATTATGATAACAAGAAGAATGATTATTCCATTTACGCATCTATTTCTAAGACAATTGTCCAGAATGCAAATTCTCTAATAGTGCACTTCGGTGATGCTGATAGACTGCAGAAATGGCAACAACTTATCAAAGGAACAATAACCATAAGTGATCCTACCCAACGGCCAACACGTATTCGGCTCTTTCAGCTGTATGCACAAAATCACAATCAAACCAAATTCATTTATGTGCTGCATATCACCGCGTCATGTTCCACGTTATATTCCATACGTAAACATTTAGCTACGACACGCAACCAGTCAAACAGCATAGCTATGTTTAGTGACTAATTATCGACTCGAACCAGTGGTTGTCATGCTTCCTCTACAGCAGACCGACCATGTTTCCCACTTCAACGTGATCGTAGTCTTTCCGTTGGACAATCAACTTAATGGTATTAAACGAATCATTCTCTTGTGTTCAGAGAAACATTTTGAAAATATTATTGAAGAATTACGGAAGAAATATGAAATCTGTCAATAAACTTTTGGCTACCAGTTTTGTAAACCGTCCAAGAGGGATGAGAATCATTGGCTTAGAATATTTTTTTTTTTGAAGTAACTGAGAGGATATGAACTATGACAAGTCGGTGCTGATTTCACATAGGACACGCAGCTGTTAGAAGTATCCGACACGAATCAAACGATCCACTCTTACAAACTTCTACTGCTAAAATATCCAAGCGGAAACGAAAACGAAGACGCACAGCAAAACGTCTGAGAAATAGATCCGTTCATGTGAAGCAGCTTTAGTGAAAAAAAGTGAACGATTCGATATTTATACCAGGGAATCGGATCTATTTTTCAGCTGTTCCTTTAACGAACAATACCATTTAAAGATTAAGGCTTACCTCTGCCATTGTTAATATTTTGTTACGGTCAGTGTCTTCTGTAAAACAATAAATCTGTTTTTGTTATGCTGTGAAACACTCACATTTGTGTGCACAATCGCAATGTAAAACGTTTGTGAAATATGAAAATGATACGATCAAGGACATATTCGTTAATGTTACAACGTTAACTGCATCCGTCCGATTGGTCCCTAAACATGAGTGCCGTATTAATTCGTTGACATCAACTCATCTACGAACAGTGCCTACTTGGACTTTACGGTTACTATTTGGGGGTATCGGGCAAACGTTGCGCTTACAAGAGAATGCGATCATACGGAAACATAATGGAACGAAGGTCGTCTACAGAAATACTTCGAAATATAACAATATTTCGAAATGTAGGATCGGATTTGGAAATTTACTAGAATACGTTATAATTCAAACAAAAAGAATAGGCTACAGAGTGGACTCTTAATGGCTGTAATTGAGCAATCAGCGCAAACACATTAGAATGAGATCTGTTTTGATCGCCAATAAACTGTTCAATAAATATGTGCTAAAATATCATCGCATTGCATTTTTGTGCGATTACCTTTATCAGCAGTATACGTCACCGATAAGAATATCGCGTGAATATTCACAAATTATTCCTTAAGTATTTGAACTGCAAAAGAGGACACAAACTAACTGCATATTGCCGTCTTAATGATCCGCGGGTGCCAATTTCTTGATTGGTCACATATGTCTATCTCTTAATTATTTTGATAACCTTTCCTTATCACTTCATCCTCGTTTCATCGGTCTGTTTTGATTAACGTTTTGACGTGAAATATTGCGAATGCAGCGCTATATGCTTATCACTCCTATAATCTTGAAAAAGAGCGCCAATGTCAGTAGAATGCCCAACAATTTAGAAGCAGCTCATGGCAAGCATGTATGCTGGAGTTAGAGTATTGAAGACTCGCAGCTTGCATGAGGTATTCAATATTCACGATTGAATAACGCATTTGCATGCAATCGAACCGACAAACATTGTCAACAGGCGATTTGGTAACGTATTTACTGACGAGAAACATTCCAGTGTAAAGGCTTAATTTCTAAACAAATTTATTGCAATCCATCAAACGACTGAGTATCATCATGTAAAGTAGTAGCAAATCCAATTACAAAAACGTGTTGCTTCTAGTGAATGTAAACAATAGCTGAATTTTAGGAAGAATCCTTACTGATCGATACAAACAAATNAACAGCAAATAAGTGTAAAATCGATCGAAACCAAATTATCAGTCATATGATCAAATCAAAAAAGCGATCGAAAAATGAATAAGAACCAGTATGCATAATCGGTGAGTGGTGAACAAAAATGTGCAAACGTAAAGAAAAGAATAAACATTGAACGAACAGAAATTGTTGTGATAAGAATGATAACGAAGTGAAAATAGTAACATTGACATCAATAATGAAACAAAACAACTCTTTCAGTAGCAAAAAACAATGAAATGCCTAGGTGAATAAGTTTCAGATTTCGCAAAATTGATCACGATTCATCCCATCAAACCACCGTCGCAGGTACTGCATTGACATTAACATATTCAGCTAGTTCAGTGACAACTTGAAAAATGACATAACAAATTCAAATTCACCCGGAAACGAACAATCATCGTTCTTGAATCGATCGTTCTCTTTGAACTACATTGAGAAAACAATTCGTTGTAAATTGCATATTACGATGAGAGTAACCTGTTTTCAGAAAATGAGGTGACAGATACAATTCATTAATACTGAACACTTATAAACTTAAACTTTCTTGAAGAAAGCACTAATTTTGGACTGTCCATGAGGTGTCCTTTTACTTGCTGCAACCGTTCTCTCATTAGCGTGTGGCTGATCTGACGCGATATTTTGGGTTGTCATCTGTGATAACGGCACTTGTTTCTTCGAGTTGGCTGTATTCTCTTCATCCGCTGACTGAACGTCCACTTCTTTCAGAACCTGTTTCGTTACTGAAAATTTCATTCTTTGAAATCGAATCGTTACAACACAATGAAAAAGCTTCTCGCTGATATCGAATTCGACACCAATGAAGAAAGAAAGAGTGGTATATGCAGTACAATACAGTAATCATTCAGATAAAATTTGAATTATCCATATTTGTGCACACTTCCATTTTGAATAGTGGAATTGCGCGCACCACTCATGATCTCATCATTCAAAAATCCGTATTCGGATGAGATAAACCAAAATTATTGAAATGAAAGAAACAAACCCATAAAACCATCTTCATCAACGAAAGTCTCTGTAACATGTTCCTTTCGAGTGGGTTTCTTTTTGGTGTCGTTTGTGGAAGTTGTTTTACGTTCTGGTGTTAACTTACGAGCTGCAAACGAAACGCAATTCAGCCAAGAAAATTTTGCACGCTTGAGGCAGATGAAAAATATTCAAAGCAATATACCAGTAGTATTATTGAAATGATATTTTCAATCGGTATAACAGTTTAAACGAATTGATAAACTTGAATAGGAACTTTCACTTTGAATGCAATTAATTCGTGAGATTGATTCTTGCGAACAATGGAAATACTATGAGAATAACGCACTTAGAGAATGCATCCAAGTGAATGATGGATTGAAAAAGTAATTTGGAAAAGAGTGAATTATACGGAACATTCAAATGGTTACACGATCGACGAGGTCGTTTCGATGAAAGAGTTGTACTTTGACGCTCTTCAGCACCTTCTTCGGAGCCGTTCATTCGCTCTGGTGATGAAGATGCATCATCAGAGAATAAATCATCCTGAGCTGAAATTTACAAAAATATTTCAACTAA